TTTTTCCGAGCCAATTAGGCGACTCCAGCTCGACTTTCTATCCCTTTGAAAATATATAGAAGGTTGTATTAACTACTGCTGTAAAACGTTGCCTGATACTCTATCGTGTTATTAACTTGAGAATATAATTATTAGATTTATATTTCTGGATACATCATATTCAACATCGAGGTATATCATTTGTGTTTTTTCTTCATGGCGGATGTAATGAGATTTCTTGATATTTTTGACAATATGCTTCCTAATATGGTGGAGTAACAAATCGAGTTCACGTTCTGTTTGACGTGCTTGTAATTATCCGATTAATATCGGTTTGGTGGATTTCCAGATTACTGCGACTATGTATGCATTTATAAAATCTTAAGGTGAAGTGAAACATCCTTTAAATCAGTCGATTCGAATACAACACTTTTTTTTAAGGGTATTAGACCAAACTGTCCGAAACTTTGACACATCACCCCTGATCATCTAAGAATTGTCCTGACACATTGAAAATTTGGATTTTTCAAAAAAATTTTTTTACTCAGTCCAGACCAGAACCAAAATGGCGTCGAGCTCTGATATTTCGATCAATATACAATTATCGAAGGCTCTGATATGAGAATCGAAAGGGTCAGGACAATTTTACGACAATTTAGAACACTCTGGTAATCGATAAACTCGCATTTGAACGGGATAAAGGCTAAAAAAGTGTTGTATGCGCTTCTTTGCTAAAACGACGGTAATACGAGGTCTCGGAGTGAAAATTTAATTGACCTGGAAATCACAGATGGCGCAGGGGGTCCCTCCGCAGTCAATTAGGGCCCCAGAAGGCACGAATCCAGAGGAGTTCTGGAGTTTTACTTCGATTTCTTTATAATTATTGTACGAAAACGACAGGTGGAATATGCCATTTGATACAATACACAATATAATTCGACCCAGCTGTCAATATAAAAACGAACGTCGGCAACGTAGGCATTTAGAAAAATCTTCATTATCGACGTTGATCAAGTTCCTCGACGTGTTTCGCTTCACCTTAAGCCATGTTGGGATAGATAGTATTTCTACTGAGTATGTTATTTTTTGACACTTTTGATGTATGGTCTCTTAACGTATGGAGGCGTCGCGCAAGATGGCGGACGCTGCGAGATCCGGACACGGGAGAAATGGAAGAAATGGATGAAACGAAGAAAAAACCGTTGACTGAATCCATGGAAGTAATAAGTCAATCACTCGGGCGCGTAACCGCCCGAACTTTGAAGTTTCTTATTACGTCGTTTCCCCCCGGAAGGGTTTAAGTGAATCGATCTAGCCGAGTTAAGAACTCGGATGGTTTAACCGGCACGTTTGTACGAGCCCGCTTCGAGAATTACCGCCGAGAAGTAATTTTCCTCGGTGACGTGGCACGCGATCCATCTTTGGGATAGATCGCACCTCCACTTTCTTTGGTCCCGGCCTCTTTTCCCTCTTTCGCCAACTTTCGCCCTCAAGACGGATTGATAGACCGATGGGAGGCATCGGTGCCTCGGTCCTTCCCGACGCCATCTTGGAATCGTTAAAAAGGATGCGTCCAAAAAGATCGAAAACCCGAAACTCGAGAGTCGATTTTCTTTCTCACCCTTAAACCCACCCCCCATAGATTCCAGAATCCACCTTAAGGGTTAAATATCGTCCTCTGCGTTCTCCACGTTCTCCAAATCTCTGCGATTTCCTCTCCTCCGCGGACCTCATTTCCCTCCCTCTCGGTCTCTCTATTTATTTCACTGTAATTCTCTCTTTCTTCGTTCCGACCTCTTTCCTCCCTTTTCCCGTTCTCCCATGTTTCTCCACCTTCATCTCTTAATCTTTATCCCGAGTTAAGCCGCCGCGTCCTGTGACGTTCCGGAAGCAATCCAGGAGAACTTCCTCCGTTTATCTGCCCCTTTATCACTCCCCCTCCATTCCCGAGGGACTCTCCTACAAAATGGACGATCTTTCGACCGGGACAATTTTTTATCCCTAATATACCATTCCCTGAAAAAATCTAAAATGCATTTGACCGCTTCGAGACTGACTTGAGTTTCTTCGCCCTGGAGGTCCAAAATCCATCTAGGAAATGAACAATTATTCGCCGACTTTAAATCCTATAAAAAAAGAAAAATGGATAAAAATTTAGATATTCCAGGATTATTAAAAATACAAAAGCGAGGCTCCGAATAATTCGGACTTTGGATTCTCGGCTAGGAAGTCCAGATTTGACCCCAGGAATCCCGGGGGACTTCTTCGAGTTCTCAGCACTCGTTATCAGTCCGAATATATCTGCTGGGTCCGTTTTTCCCCCGAAGGTAAAAAAGCGGACAATTCCGGGCGAGGTTTGCGCCTTCCCCAATCTTCGCTCTTCCGGCTCCACGTGGCCAGCTCTCTTTTTCCGGTCCGCGTCTCTTATCCTCCGCCTAAGCGGCAAGAAAACGAAAACTGCGGAAGTGGAGGCGCTCGTGCTAGACCGGAGCCGGCCAATGCATGCTGATAAACCTCGGACGAATTTAAATCCCGCGATGGCGGATACCGCCTCCGAGGATCTATCTCGGGAACGATTTATTAGGTACTTTGCTCGAATTTCCCTTCGTCCGAGCATCCTCCATCCGCGACTTCGAGTCGATCATCGATCCACCGGGATCCCTCGGACGTCGTCGAAGATTGCCTCCAGAGATTCGCCTTTGCGTTCCATGCATGTTGGGAGAGGAAACCCTCTTCATACGTAAATTAGCGAGATAACCTTGTACCATCTCGGAGCCAAGGTAAAATGGAGTTAGGTGACACGAGTTGGACTGGTGAAGTATCTGCTCTTCAGAGTAGGAAGTGCTGATGATGGAGATTTTTTTTTAATTCTTGGAGTTAGGATAAAGTGGGCTTAAGTGACAAGAATTAAATTGGTGAAGTATCTGCTCTTCAGAGTAGGAAGTGCTGATGATGGAGATTTTTTTTAATTCGATATTTTAATTCTTGAAGATGGGATAAAATGGGCTTAGGTGACAAGAATTAAATTGGTGAAGTATCTGCTCTTCAGAGTAGGAAGTGCTGATGATAGAGATTTTTTTTTAATTCGATATTTGAATTCTTGAAGATGGGATAAAATGGGCTTAGGTGACAAGAATTAAATTGGTGAAGTATCTGCTCTTCAGAGTAGGAAGTGCTGATGATGGAGATTTTTTTTTAATTCTTGGAGTTAGGATAAAATGGGCTTAGGTGACAAGAATTGAACTGGTGAAGTATCTGCTCATCAGGGTAGAAAGTGCTGAAAGTGCTGAAGAGACATTTTGGAGATATTTTTCCCAATGTAGATATATTCTTTAACTCGACACCTCAATTTTCGGTTGACGAAAGGGATTCCGTGGTGCATTGCTCCAGGAATCCAGGAAAGTCTCCTGCATACGTAAATTAGCGAGATAGCCCTGTTCCACCCCCACTCGAAGATAAAACACCCCGAAGCAGCGCGGAGAGTTGAACCGGCGGAGATAGCTCTTCAAGGTGGAAAATGCTGATGATGGAGGGACGCCGACTATCATGTCCTCTACCAGCTCCGAACGAAGAAAAGGGACGATAAAACGATATTCCTCGGCAGCGCATATCGAGGTCCTGATATCTGCCAATAATCTCTGCAATCAATAAGTTCTCCCCGTATCTCGGGCCCTGAAGATCATCTTTTAATTGGTGTTTGATGTCTTCAAGGGGCATCTCGAGTTCCCCTTTCGAGGCGTTCTCACGAGACAGGGGCGACGTACAATCCGAGGGGTGGAGCATTTTCACCCTTGCTGAAGACCCCCCAGGGCGAGGGGCGATCCGCCGTCAGGGGATGCTGCCAACTTGCCAAGTCCGTGGATCCCGCGTCGGGAAACTAACCGTCGAGTTTCTCCAGCTAATTTTATTAGTTACTTACTCGTCGTATCGCTAACCGACGGCGCATTAGGGTAATAGGTTTACCCCTCGTGGAAAAGACGCCGTGCGAATGCGACCCCTTCGTGGACTCGTCCTCGCAAATGTGATTTCTCGTCCGAACGTCGCCGGAACTGAGACCGAGGAAAGTGGAGGCGCCACCCCCAAGGACGATATTCCCGACAAGCGAACACGAAACGTCAGAAATGTTTATTCTTGAAGAATATAAATTTCACTGCAACCCTGGTGACCCGACACGTGTCTGCAATTTTTACTCCAGGATGCAGTCGTTGCAGGTGTCGTGAGATAGACTCTTCAGGATTAAGGTGGCTACACACGAAAGGATTATCTAATCCTCGCGATATAGACGCCGTAGAATTTGAACAATCAAATTCCAAAATGTTTCAACCCCTTTAAATATGTATTTTCTGATACTACGGAAGAATTACCTTCGAATTTATCAGTAAGAAAAAAAATTTCGAGGGTGCCTTCCCTGCGAGTCCGTATAATGTATTTGGTGCGAAACTCAGTCGACTGCATCTCGGCCATCAAAGTGTCATTCAGAAACCAAGAACGGGGTACAGGTGATGAGATTTTTATTCTTCAAAAAAGCTTTAACAAGATATACGTATAACAACGCCTAGACTGGCGGGACGAGTGTGTGGGAAGAGGTTAGGTCGCGATTACGACCATGGTCGCCTGGGATCCCCTCCGATGGCGGCGTGGCAGCAGCCAAGTGCAATGATGCGAGCTGGAGGAAGCACCCTGGACCACTCTCTGGCTAAAAGTGGTTGAGGTGTCGTCCTCATGGGGTTCTTCGCCAGGGGGGAGGGTCGGGCGACCTGGGTGTCGTTCGGGGGGTGCAGGGGGGCACGAAGAGTCGGGATGTCGGGGGTACCGGGGGCACCTGGTACCCTTTGCGCATACTATGTACAACTGGCCGGTGCACCAGCGAGGACGACGCCGGCGACGGCGACTCTGTGTGCGGTCTTTGCGTGCGGTTTGCAGACGAGAGGGCGACCCCTGGAGATGGTGGTCCGCGTCGGCGGACGACGGCTATGGGGGGTCGCCTAGGGCCATGGGTTCGGGGATGGCTGCTGGGTCGGTTATATCTGGATGGTGAAGGCACCGTGCTTGTTTTCCGCCGTGGCCGGCTCCTTGGAGCCCTTGACGACGTCAGAAATGGACGCCAGGGTGGCGGTGATCTTCTTAGGGGCCGTCGCGGATCCCTCCGGGAAGGCGTACTCGCCGTGCTGGTGTGACGCCCCGAACGCGAACTTGTGCCCATGGTGGGCATGGTGGCTGTGGTGGGCGTCGTGGTGGTGGTCGTGCTTGTCGAAGACGTGGTGATGGTGGCCTTCGTGGTGCTTGCTGTGGTGCTCATGGCCGTGTTTGTGGTGGTGGTCGGAGTGATGCTTGTGATCCTCGTGATGGTGGTGGCCATGTTTATGGTGATGGTCCTCGTGGTGCTTGTGTTCCTCGTGATGCTTGTGGTCCTCGTGGTGATCGTGATGCTCCTTGTGGTCGTGGTGGTGCTTGTGTTCGCCCTTGTGCTCGTGGCCGTGCTTGTGGTCACCGTGATGCTGGTGCTTGTGCTCCTCGTGATGGTGGTGATGGTGGTCCTCGTGATGGCCGTGGTGGTGCTCCTCCTTGTGGCCGTGCTTGTGCTCATGGTCGTGCTTGTGACCGTGGTCCTCGTGATGGCCGTGCTTGTGCTCCTCGTGATGGTGGTGATGGTGCTTCTCGTCATGGTGCTCCTTGTGCTCGTGGCCATGGTCGTGCTTGTGGTCACTGTGGTGGTCGTGATGGTGCTCCTCGTGGTGACCATGCTTGTGCTCCTCGTGATGATCATGCTTGTGATCCTCGTGATGGTGGTGCTTGTGCTCCTCATGGTGACCATGATGGTGGTCGTGTCCGTGATGGTGACCGTGCTCCTCCTTGTGCTCGTGCTTGTGGTCGTTCTTGTGGTCGTGTCCGTGATGGTGGTGGTGGGTCTCGGTCTCCTTGTGGCTGTGGTGATGGTGGTGCTCGTTCACGTGATGATGTTCATGGTGGTGGTGATGTTCGTTTTTGTGGTGGTGTTTGTGGTGATGGTGGTGCTCCCCGTGGTGCTTGTGCTCCTCGTGATGCTCGTGGTGGGAGTGGTGGTCGTGCCCATGGTGGTGCTTGTGATCCTGGTGGTGCTTGTGCTCGTGCCCGTGTTTGTGGTCGTGTTTGTGGTCATGTCCGTGTTTGTGCTCATGGCCATGGTGGTGCTTGTGGTCGGCATGGTGCTTGTGCTCCTGGTGGTGCTCGTGGCCGTGCTTGTGCTCGTGCCCATGTTCGTGCTTGTGTCCATGGTGGTGCTTGTGGTCCTGGTGGTGGTCGTGGTGGTGCTTTTGGTCATGGTGGTGGTCGTGCTTGTGCTCGGCATGGTGTTTGTGGTGGTTATCATGATGATGGTGGGCGTGGTGTTCGTGGCTGTGGCCGTGGTGGTGGTCATGCCCGTGGTGATGCCCATGATGATGACCATGGTGGTGTCCATGATGGTGGTGCTTATGGGAAGCCTCGTGGTGGCTGTCGAAGTGGTGGTTCCTCCTCTGCAGCTGGCCTCCGGTCAGGAAACTCACATGGGAAGTGGCTGATGGCTCTTCGAGCGCCTTAACGTGAAGCGAAACACGTCGAGAAATTTAATCGACGGCGGTAAACAAAATTAAAAATACATTACCAACACTCGTACATATATATCGACAGCAGTCTCAAATTATATCGAATATCGTACAAAATGGCGCACTCCATATCTCGTTTCCGTACAAAAGCCATAAACAAATCAAAGTAAAACACTAGAAATACCCTGGAGTCATAATTGACCACAGAGTGTCTCCCCGCGCCATCTGTGATTTCAGTGCAAATTAAATTTCATCTCAAAGCGTCTCCATATTTTAGCAAAAAATCCCATGAGATACTTTCTTGCATTTATCCCGTTTAAATGCGAGTCTCCCGACTACTGCAGTGTTCTAAATCGTTGCACAATTGTCCTGACACTTTCGTCTCTCATATGTGCCCATAATTATGAAAGTGGTCTAAGTCAAAATTGAAAAAAAAAATGAGTTTATAAGTTATTTCACGCCACATTATTTCAAACTAAATTAATTCAATGTAATTTCGAAAGAAAAAATACATGACTTAGACCACTTTCATAATTATGGGCACATATCAGAGCGTTCAACAGTTGTACATCGATCGAAATACGAGAACGAGGAAATTTAGGTTCTGGCCCCTGGACAATTTTTGTTGGAAAATCCATTGTTTCAAAGTGTCGGGACCATTGTTAGGTGTTTTCGGGGCTCGTGTCAAAGTTTCGGACGGTTCGGTCCAGTACTCTTTGAAAAAAGTGTCTCATTGGATTGTGGGGGGGTTTCACTTTACCTTAAGGTCGATGATGGGCTTCACATCGATCGAGCCGGGCACTGCGTTCGACTTCAGCGATGACGAGCCTAGGATCGGTAGGCCGAGCGGACTCCCGAAGTCGAGGCTCCCGATGTCGCTCAGCTGCCTCTTCTGCTGCAACTTCTCGGGGGCGGCACGGGCGGCCGGCGCCGCCTTCGCCGAGGGTTGGGAGATAGGAACCCCGAAAGCCTGCGGGGGCTCCAACTGCCTCGGCAGCCTCGCCGGACGTAGATCGAGAATCGGTTTCACCGGTTTCTGGTTCCTCGTTCTGGGATCCTGGCCCGCAGCCGCCGCCACCAGCAGGCCGAGGACCAAAATCCACGCCTGGGGAGCCAAAAGGGGTTCGTTCGTTCAAATCAATTCATCCCTCCATCCCGGTCCAAAGCTGGACCCTCGATCGTTACTCCCTCGGAGAAGACCTCTTTGCTGGATCCCGACCCCATTTACCCAAATCGATCGAGCGGGCTCGATCCGAGGAATAAACCACGACTTGCCCCCAATTTGTGACATTTTCCGACATTTTCCGACAGGACACCCTGACTACTTTATCCGTATATCAGATAATTTATTTATTAATCAATGCGAGGAATTTCCGAAATTTTATCCTGTGATTAAAACATAAGGCGACGTCTCCCTACTTTATTTGTGTCGGCTCGTAAATTAAGGAATCAGTGTGTTTTTTAATGCCCTGGTATCATTTTCAAGTGGTTTAGATAATGGCGGGCATTTTAATTTCCGTTCAGTGAATCGAAAGAACGGAAACGTTGCACCCTTTATAAGATTTAGTAAAGCCGGGAGCAGATAAACACGAGACATCAGGGCTTCCAAGCTCCTGGGGGCGGTCCTCGTCAGCCCTCGTTCCCTTCCGGGACACAATGGCCACCCGGACCACGTTCGTGTCCCTCGGTGCGGAAGGGCGATAATTTGCAGTAAATCGCGAATCTCGGAGAGGGTTTTTATCTCCCGGCCGAGTTCTTGCGGATTTCCGGCGCGGAGAGAAAGGCTTGGTCCCGGACTTTCGTTGTTGGGTCTACAAAAAGGAGCACCACCGATTGATAGGTCCCACCCCTGATGAACTCTTGTCATATCATTAACTTCCCCAGATGAACCCCAACCCTCGGATGAACCCCTTCACGTGTCTCTCGAGTAACTTTCGTAATTCGTCCCCAAGAAAAAAAAATGAAAAAAAAATATTTCATTAACTCCAAGAAGAATTATTTGACCCGAAGAAACATCAAATGAACTATCACGATCCCGAAGAAACGTTGCATGGAATTTATTCCAGTTCATTTCCGTCGCGTAATTACTCCTCGAATATACGTTTCATCGGTACTATTCAAAGAAATATTTCCCTGGTTAATTGGAAATTTTTTATTTCAGGGTATTTAATGAATTCCCACCCCCTGTCTTAGAATGGACTGTCCGAAGTACCTCCACCAATTTTTCTTACTTTCTCGTCCTGGACTCACCCCTTTCGTTCACCTATGGATCAGTCCCACTCCTTGACTTATTTGATATAAATGAATCCCATTTTTTTTCCAGATCGATCCTCGTTCATGGATCGACTCCCTTAAGATCTTTTCCCCTCCTGAGGATCAACCCTTCTCCCTCGATCTCTCCCTCTTCGCCTCCAGATCGATCAACCCCCAATTTTGGACTCTACTGAATTTCAATGGCACCCTCTCGGCTCTCCACCCCCTCGAGATCGAGCACCGAGCTCACTTCCGGCCGGAAACGGGGTCGCGAGAATTAACGTTAAATTTGAGCGCAATTTCGCGCACCGTCGGGGCGATTACAATGGTGCTCCCATTCTTCTGGCCCGGAAGGAGTAAAAGTGCGCCCCGGCTGTTGCCCTCGAGATATCCGACTCTCGTTCAACCGGGAAATCTCCTTTTCTACGGGAATTCTATTTCGTTACTTGCTCGGGACAAGTGACGCCGCGCTGTTATTACCCGCCTTTCCGCGGAATTCACCGCCGCGAAGAAACGCGAGGAAAGTAGTAAAATGGTCCCTGGCTCCTGAAGAGCAGGGAACCGGAACCGGATGTTGGCCACCTCTAACTATTTTCCGCTAAACGGTTTGTATACGCCGTCCCCCTTTTTTCCCATTTTTTTTCACCCTCCCATCACCGGAGTAATCGGATTTTTAATTCTCGCTTCCGCGCGAGGAACTCATTTTTTTAACCCCCCTCCTTTCCCGAGGAAAAAAAATTCATTCTACCAAACCGCAGGAGTAGAGAATAATTTATTGATATTTCTTTGTTGCAATCTCTGCTGAATATCTCATGCGACAGATTTTTTTAAATGTCTCGTAGATTTCATTTGAAGATATGTGCCCATAATTATGAAAGTGGTCCAAGTCATATATTTTTTGTTTCGAAATTACATTGAATTAATTTCGTTTGAGATAATATGGCGTGAAATAACTGATAAATTCATTTTTTTTTTAATTTTGACTTAGACCACTTTCATAATTATGGGCACATTTATCAAAGATTTTCTGACAGTCTCTATGACTTATTTGGTTTTCATCATTTATGCACATGTATCAATATTATATATTTCTTTTTCCATTTATAGGTGGAATGGAAATGCATTTTTTTACTTTATGATTGTTAGAGGTTCAATGAACATTTTTCTTTTTTTTCCAGTTTGAGGTAGAAGGAATTTATACTTACATACTTACAGGGAATACGAATTAAGAAATAAAAATCGAACCAAATGGGGATGTAATTTCTTGGTTATTCGTGGATAATTTCTATATTTATTTATCTGTGAGACGGTTTTGCGGTAATTTTCAATGTGTAGTAGAGTTTTTCGCGGATTTAGGAATTGTTTGCCGTTTTAGCTGCAATTTTCAATTTAAGGGGTCGTACTTTTCGTGGTCCATTTTCGGATGCTGTCGCGAATACACCTGCCATCTTGAACCCGCGATGCATTCTTCGCGAATGGAAATGCCCGTGCTTAATAACTTGGAATTTAATCAGGGCAGGGAGAATTTATGCACAGGATCAGGACGCGTCCTCGGGCCGAGGGGTTAGCGTTATTTCTTCCTTGGATGGCTTGCTTTTACGTTTAATCGGGATTAATGACTGGACAGGGTGGAGGATGTTCGCGTTGAGGTTAGAATTTGCGCCATTACGACCGGAGGAATGGAAAAACATACATTAAAAAGAAAAGTCCTTTTACGGCGCTTAAACATGCAGATCCACCCTTGAGGAAATTCAAGGAAAAATAAAGACAAGCAGATTTCGCACCGATGTAAAATCTCCCCCTTCTTGAAGAAATTTTGCAAAACCTTGAAATTGAATTCGGAGCCATTTTGTGAAAAAAGTCTTGGGAGGATTATTTTGATCGACCTCTTTTTTTAATACCCCACTGAGGAGAGAAATACATGAATTTTTATGCAGGGGTTGGAATTAAATTTAACGTGGATGTCGGATTTATCACCTCAATTTTCTGGCTCACGTGGGGGGATGAAAAATGCACACCCCTACCGAATGACTTTCCCGGGATAAAAACCACCCGCGTGGCAATCGTGGGCATTATTAATATTTATCCCATAATTAATACCCGCGAGCCGACTTGGGGGTGCTGGCAGTTTCAGGGTGCGCTAAATTCATTTCCCTTGGGGGCGAATTCGTGTACGTGTACGGTTCGCGTTCTCCGCAGGTTGCACTGTGTTTCCGCAATTAGCGGGGCAATTAGCCGAAAGTCTCTTTATCCCGGAATCGCGCGGTTCACAAGTCCAGAATTCGCCCTCGAGCTATCGATCAAAAGATCGATTGGAGATCATCACTCGGTCAAAATCTCATTTCGAAATCGCGAGGTCGTCACAAGTCCCAAATTCGCGTCCAAGTCCCGGATAAAGATGATAATTCGAAGGATCGAGATAACGTGAACGTCAGATAATCGCGAGATCTTTTAAATTCACCCTCGACCCATTAATCAATGAATCGATTAGCGCTTATCACTCGGTCGAAATCTCATCTCAAAATCGCGAGATCGTCACAAGTCCCAAAATTGCGTCCAAGTCCGGGATCAAGATGAAAAATCGAAGGATCGAGATAACGTGAACGTCAGATATTTCCGAAATCGAGAGATCTTCTAAATTAACCCTCGATCCAAAGAATCGATTAGTGCTTATCACTCAGTTAAAATCTCATCTCGAAATCGCGAGGTCGTCACAAGTCCCAAATTCGCGTCCAAGTCCCGGATCGAGATGATAAATCGATGGATCGAGATAACGTGAACGTCAGATAATTCCGAAATCGGGAGATCTTCTAAATTAACCCTCGATCGAAAGAATCGATTAGCGCTTATCACTCGGTTAAAATCTCATCTCAAAAGTGCGAGGTCGTCACAAATCCCAAATTCGCGTCCAAGTCCGGGATCAAGATGAAAAATCGAAGGATCGAGATAACGTGAACGTCAGATAATCCCGAAATCGGGAGATCTTCTAAATTAACCCTCGATCCAAAGAATCGATTGGTGCTTATCACTCGGTCAAAATCTCATCTCGAAATCGCGAGGTCGTCACAAGTCCCAAATTCGCGTCCAAGTCCCGGATCGAGATGATAAATCGATGGATCGAGATGATAAATCGATGGATCGAGATGATAAATCGATGAATCGAGATAACGTGAACGTCAGATAATTCCGAAATCGGGAGATCTTCTAAATTAACCCTCGATCCAAAGAATCGATTAGCGCTTATCACTCGGTTAAAATCTCATCTCGAAATCCCGAGGTCGTCACAAGTCCCAAATTCTCGTCTAGGTCCCGTATCGAGATGACAATATGTCGATTCGTCGGCAATTATCCCTGGTCCAATAATTCGGAAATCCCGAGATCCCTCACAATAAGCCCCGAGTTCGTCGTTTATGTCTCTGATCGATCGATAGATCGGCGATCGACTTACCCAGGAGACCATGATGCCGTATTCGGGTGCAGCCAGCAGCGAACAACTGGATGCCGAATCTCAGCGGCGACGTACTTTTATAGAGAGTACTAGGCTCTCGGCACTTTCTTCCGTGCTAAGCACCAATGTCGTTTACGAGCCCGGCTAATATTTTAATTGTCGTCATAATATCTGCCGGACCGCGACGGAGCCGCACAATAATTACGTATCGCAACACAATCGCCTGGATATTTCGTCCGTAATCGTTACGAGCCGCTGCGACTTCCTATCCGATTCCTGCAGATTCGAATGCCCAGGGCGAAGCGGAAGTCGAGGACCCTCGCTTAGATTTTATTCCGACTCCCAACCCGACGAAGAAGTACCCGAAGGTCGGCCAATCGCAGTTCTAGAAATTTAGTTAACCCTTAATTAATTTCAAATTAAATCACGCGATTTCATGAAATTTCGATGTTTGCGATTTCTCGTCCTAATTTGACAGATTTGAATTTCACGATTTCTTTTCCTAATTGCCTAGAAGCCAGAT